CGACGGCATTTATAAATGCCTTACGCCGATTTATGTCACGCCGAGAAGTTTCGGACTCGATCACCTGCGATAATGCCACGACTTTCGCAGTAGGAGAGCGAATAACCACGGATTGTCTGAGAAACAACGAAGTAGATCAATAGATTATGGACACATAACGTGGAAGAAGATTACGCCGTATGCACCGCAGCAAAGAGGGTTTTACGAGCGTCTTACAAAAGACGTCAAACAGTCGCTGGGAGTTGGCACAGGATGTAAGTGGGCAATTACGAAAACATAGTGGAAGCAGGATCTGGAGAGGCGTGACCGGAAAAAGGAAATGTTGTATTGGAATAGGACATAGGCAAAAGTTGACGTTAGAATTACGAATGAATTATACTTGGGTAATTCGAAAAATTTTCATCGAATGAATGAATATCGAATAAATTCAAAAATGAAAAATTTTGAATAAACGAATATCGAATAAATTCAAAAATAAAAAACCTCGAATAAACGAATATCGAATAAATTCGAGAATCAAAATTTTTCGAATGAATGAATATCAAATAAAATCGCAAAATCAAAAGTATCAACTGAATGAATATCGAATATATTCGAACATTGGGAGTCGAATTTCGAATAGATATTCGAATGATTTTTCGAATAACTACAGCAACACTACTACAACATATCTAAAACTTGCTGACATATCTGGCTAAAGCCGATTTATTCATAATCAGCACCCTCATATCCCCTACACCAACTCCCAGCTCAAGCTTTTCCAGAAATCGGTAAAATCGATAAGATAAAATTTTATTCATAATCAGCACCCTTACTTACCCCCTGTACCAACTGCCAGCCCCGTAGCTCAAAGTTCTCCACCAATCGATAAAATCGATAAACAAAAATCCAAATTCCACACCTATAACATCTACACCTATTTTTTTACTGTCGCAAGCAGTCGGAGGAATGCGACATTCGTTCAGAGGTCATTACGGTTGCAAAAAGATGCATTACCTGGTTTTGCGAAAAAAAAAACGCAAACGAAGCGAGCTTGGTGCTCAGCAGTTGGCTCTGCAACAAACTCGAATAATTTGGATACGGAGTTCATTCGAATACGAATTCGAATAAACATTCGAATAAAACATTCGAATAAAAACTGTTCGAAACTCCTTTTTCCGATTATTCGAGTTTTCGAATATTATTCGAATTCTCGTTTTTTGATTATTCGAATTTTCGAATTTTATTCGAAACCCTGTTTTTGGATTATTCGAGTTTCGAATTTTATTCGAAACCCCGTTTTCTCAATTATTCGAGTTCCGAATATTATTCGAAAATGGAAAACCTCCGAATATCGAATTTCGAATGCAATTATTCGAATGTTTTATTCGAATGATCGAATTTCTATTCGATTTGGACCCAAGTATACATTGACCTTGTCGTAATTTGTTTTGAAATGCATAATAGAACAGATAGTTTTCATCTTGTTATCAAGTGAACTGGCATTGCTGATCCCATCTATTTTTCCGCTTCAGCATAAACTTAATCTTGAATAGGACAAATATCCCATACCAGCTATTTTTCGTTCAACAGTTATCAAAGACCTAAGTAAACCTGATGCAAAGTCGTTGCTTCAATCATCGGATCCAGAATAATTACTGCAAACTTCAGATTTGCTGATTTTCAAATGGCAGCTGTTCTGCAGCAACGCAAAGACATTGTTTTGGAACTTCGTACCGTAATCCTACAGTATTGAAAATCGTAAGTGATTCTGTTCTGTTAATCTAAAACCTTGCACACAGTTTTTAGATAAAAGAATTCATTATTATTCTGGTCTACTTGTTGCGGTAATTCGTTGGGCTCTTCCAGTAATCTATTGATTTATCACTCTGCGATGAAAACGAATTTTCATCATTAGCGATTAAACAATCTCCCTTTCGCGTGAATATTACCGTGGCTCACTTACATTGCGCGTTGAGGGACTCGAACGTCGTAGAGCAGAGCAGCCTACCTCGTTTACCTCCCCCCTTCCTCTCCCCTTTACCAAGCATAAGAGCTGAGTTTTGCTCCCTTGTAATTAAGCCACCGCGAAGCATAGGGTACTTTTTGCAAAGTTTCGCTGGGCTCCTTTATATTTAAAATTGATTTGTAGACTTACACAGGGAATAAGAGCTTATTAAACATTGGCTCATTTTTCCATAGTCATGAAAACGGGGACGTTAGAACTCATTTACATTTCGCGGCGAGAAGGACATGGCGATTTGAAGCGAAAAGTCAGCAAGATATGCACTACACAGGAGCACTTCGATGCAGATATGGAGCAAAGATCCCCCGTCTAAAGTCTTGATATTAGGTTGCTTTAAAAGCAAACTCGTTTTCAAATAATTCAAGCTGTTTTTGTTTTCCTAGCAGACCTAGGGAATCATTTGATAGAGCAGATCAAGCTATACAAAATGACACCAAGGATTTGTCCAAGTCTGAGTTGCATTCCATATAAAGTTTAACGACAAAATCGAAGAAATGTTGTAACCTGAAAATTGAATTCTTGCGAGAAAAAATTATACGCACCTTCAACTTGGTCAGTATACAGTAGGCGCATAGTAGTACTAAAATATGCCTTAACTAATTTTTTTCCACGCATAGAAAGCGAGAAACAAGATAGTCCAAAAATGGCAAACGCCGCCCCAACTCCTCGCACATATGTCGTTGCATACTGCAAGCCCTACTTAGTATAATCTTAATACTTTACTCTGTACGTGTACTCTTATAATCGAGAAGTACCAAGTTTTACATGAAAACTCCGAAAAAAGTGGCATTTTGGCATTTCCGGACCATCTTTGTTTCCCAATTTTGAACAACATGGGAAAAAATCCGCCAAATATCCGCCAGTTTCTGGATACTATTAGTGTTTATTATATGAAGACCAAGTTGGAAGTCCGTAGGTTTTCTGGAAGGAGATCCGACTTTTATGGTAGCTGAAAAATCTTGATTTTTGCTTCCATTGGCTGGATGACGACTTATGTGGATCTTTGGGGCTTTTTGTAAAGCTTGCTCCGCTCTATCGGGTTACTCCAATCTTTGAGGTAAACAAAAACAGAGAGTAAAAAAGTAAACTTCATCTACTCAGACAAATCACCGGAATTTCCGCAGGACAAGCCAAATTTGCAGAAGTTCCGCAGGATTTTGTTCTTATTGCAAACATGAAAACGTTGAAAATCGGTACATCCGCGAGACTTTTACAAAGCGCTGCGGAACTTCCGAAAAATGTCAGAAGTTCCGCAGTACTTTGGCCTGCCAGAACTTCAGTAGGACTTTGAATGTGTTGTCTCTTGATGTTGCCTCGCCAGCACCAGAGTGCATTATCGAACATGCCAGCCGTAAGAGGATAGTAGGTGGGTCTCACAGTCAATAGAGTGAGGTTCAAATCCCGCTTGGTGTTGTCTTTTGCTGTTGTGGTTGGCATTCTTCGGAACTTCCGTAGACCTCATTTCGGAACTTCCGCAGGTGACCTGGCGGAACTTCGGGCTCTGCGGAAGTTCCGATGATTTGTCTGAGTATTTGAAATTGGAGTTAACTTTTGGGAAACCTAGTAGTTCGAGACGATTTTGATAATATCCACTCCACTGGGCCAGTGACCGACTGCCCGGGCGGCACCTGTAAAGCCATCTATTAGGTTGTCCCATAATGTTTTACCGTTTTACTTCGACGGTCGTCTTTTTGTTTTTTTCCTCCAATTGATGCGGCTTGAGTAACCATTCGATAGGGCAACGCAAGCTCTATGAGATGACTATCAAGAGTCTGCACAAATTTGAGCTGAAATATGACAGCAGTCAGAAACGCGTTTGACTGTCAAAAATCGCATCTCCGCCCCAAAAAATCTAAAAAATTCCTTATTCAACTGGCATATGCTTGACACATCGAACATTCAATTATACAAATTCGTATTTTTTTTCCATGGCTAGAAACAAAGAGAAAATTGAATGGAGTAAATTTGAAACTCCGCCCCTAGAAGTCCTGAGCTCCTCTTACACACGTGATCATATAGCTCATACATACAGAAGTACGATTCTCGAGAAATGCTGATGTTTAAGGTAAAAATGGTACAAAAAACTTATGGGACACCCTAATATGAGGTACACGAGGCCGAGTTTAAAATTGGTTCATAGTGGTTCACAAACTGGATGAATCTTTTTTGCAATTGAGCATGTAGACAACTCAGACTACCCGGCTCCGCCCAGCGCTGCCAATACACTATGATGAAGATAACCATTCCTAATTTTGTGCGACATTTCTCTAATTCGGTAACACTTCTATATGCTAGTATCCTGCCTCCACTATGTTAATCTCAGCATGGTTCATTTACCCCCGTAGCTCTCGCCACGGGAGTGTAAAAAAACGATAAAATTGATTGAAGCAATCGATAATTTTGATAATTTCATACGTTATCACCTTATTCTTAATTGGTATATTTACTTACTCTTTACCCCATGCCAGCTTCCGGCCACGTGGCTCAGAGTTTGCAAAAAAAAGCGCGATAAAATTGCTCTCAATCGATAACACAAATAGCAAGTGACATCCGCCCCTCCCACAAGTATAGGTGTGCAAAGTTGGTTCTGATCGGTTCAGAGATGGAATTTTCTATTTGTAACATACATATAGACATACATACAAACATACATACATGCACCATACATACATTCAGCTTGTATATGATTTGAGCTGGACGACAGTTCTGTAACGTTTCATGTGTACAAACAAGGCAATGACAAAAGTGGCGTCTTGGGTCAGAGTGCTTTTTTTGCTGCCACTCGGTGTTTTTGAGCTACTTTCCTAGCAATAATTTTTGGTTTACGCGCTCTTGCTTTCAAGACTGGGATATGTAAATCATCAATGCCGGAATTAAGAAAATCGGGGCCTCCGAAGTATCTGAACGGGTGCACGTGACGATGGCCATGTCCGGGAGATGGAGAAGAAGCAATCACATTCGCTGAAAAATAATCACTGATTTATGACTCATTCAACTAAAAGTCGGTGACTTGATCACCTTTACGATAAGACCCTGAGAAGTTACGGAGCTCTTGTGCAGCTATTATGGCCGGAGCAGGAGCCACAGCTGCAGCTGAGGTAGGAACTTCGACAGAAACTGGAGCGTGAATTGGAGCAGGAGCTGGAACGGGAACTGGTGCTGGCGCCACGGATAGTGAAGGTGGGACAGCATAGGTCATGGTTCGTGGAGGGGCAACGTAGTCTGTCGGTGGTGGAGGTGGCAATGATATCTCTATGGGTATCTCTTCAATATCCTCTTTTGATGATATTACCATCGCCGTTACCGATGTATGTCCATTTTCTAGATAGAAATTTTTTATTCATACTTTTATGCATAAGACTGCACGAGACTTACCTTTGGCATAGTGTCGTGCAACGTTGCGGACTTCTGTGTGGGGTCGATGATGACGAATTTTTCTTGTATTAACCACTGGCGGAGGTGGAGGGGGCGGTAGTGGAGGCGGTGCTGGTGCCACGTAAGATGGATGTGGTGACGAAGGTGATGGCGGAGGCGATGATGGAGGTGGTGCGGCATATGTTGATATATCCACTGGCGGTGCTGCAGGTGGTGGTGCCACATATGTAGGTGGTGGAGCTGGAACTGGTACAGGTGCTGGTGCCAGTGGCACAGGTGCTGGTGCCAGTGGTACAGGTTGTCCTGTTGGTACTGACCCTGGCGACGGTTCTAGCACTGTTACCGGAGGCACTGGTGCCGTATATGTTGATGGTATTGCTGGAGATGGCACTGGTGAAGGTGATGGCGTCAATGGCACAGGTGCTGGTGCCACTGGTACTGATTGTCCTACCGGTACTGGAACTGGTGGCGGTTCTAACACTGTAAGTACCGGAGGCACTGGTGCCGCATATGTTGATGGTGGAGCTGAAGCTGGCATTGGTACAGGTGCTGGTGCCACCGGTACTGGTTGTCCTACCGGTACTGATCCTGGTGGCGGTTCTACCGCTGTAACTACCGGAGGCACTGGTGCCGCATATGTTGATGGTGGAGCTGGAGCTGGCACTGGTAAAGGTGTTGACGTTTGTGGCACAGGTGCTGGCGCCACTGGTACTGGTTGTCCTACCGGTACTGGTCCTGGTGGTGGTTCTACCACTGTAACCACCGGAGGCACTGGTGCCGTATACGTTGATGGTGGAGCTGGAGCTGGCACTGGTAAAGGTGTTGACGTTTGTGGCACAGGTGCTGGCGCCACTGGTACTGGTTGTCCTACCGGTACTGGTCCTGGTGGTGGTTCTACCACTGTAACCACCGGAGGCACTGGTGCCGTATACATTGATGGTGGAGCTGGAGCTGGCACTGGTAAAGGTGTTGACGTTTGTGGCACGGGTGCTGGTGCCACTGTTACTGGTTGTCCTACCGGTACTGGCCCTGGTGGCGGTTCTAACACTGTAATTATCGGAGGCACTGGTGCCGTATATGTTGATGGTGGAGCTGAAGCTGGCATTGGCACAGCTGGTGCCCTTGGCACTGGTTGTCCTATTGGTACTGACCCTGGCGGCGGCTCTATCGCTGTAACTGCCGGAGGCACTGGTACCGCATATGTTGATGGTGGAGCTGAAGCTGGCATTGGCACAGGTGATGGTGCCCCTGGCCCTGGTTGTCCTATTGCTACTGACCCTGGCGGCGGCTCTATCGCTGTAACTGCCGGAGGCACTGGTACCGCATATGTTGATGGTGGAGCTGAAGCTGGCATTGGCACAGGTGATGGTGCCCCTGGCACTGGTTGTCCTATTGGTACTGACCCTGGCGGCGGCTCTATCGCTGTAACTGCCGGAGGCACTGATACCGCATATGTTGATGGTGGAGCTGAAGCTGGCATTGGCACAGGTGATGGTGCCCCTGGCACTGGTTGTCCTATTGGTACTGACCCTGGCGGCGGCTCTATCGCTGTAACTGCCTGAGGCACTGGTACCGCATATGTTGATGGTGGAGCTGAAGCTGGCGTTGGCACAGCTGCTGGTGCCACTGGTACTGATTGTCCTACCGGTACTGGTCCTGATGGCGGTTCTACCACTGTAATTACCGGAGGCACAGGTGCCGCATATGTTGATGGTGGAGCTGAAGCCGGCATTGGCACAGGTGCTGGTGCCCCTGGCACTGGTTGTCCTATTGGTACTGACCCTGGCGGCGGCTCTATCGCTGTAACTACCGGAGGCACTGGTGCCACATATGTTGACGGTAGAGCTGGAGGTGGCACCGCTGGTGCAGGTGCTGATGCCACTGACACTGGTGCTCCCACAGGTATCGGAGGTCCTACTGGTATTGGTTGTCCCAGTGGGAATGGCTCCGTTGGTGGCTGTTCTACTGTTACCGGAGCTGCGGGCACCGGTGCACCGTAGGCTGCTTCCACAGTGGCATGTGCTACGACTACGTCAGCGTAAGACCTGAATAAACCTTGCATTCATTTGTATGAGAGGTAAACTTAAAGTGAAGTACAGGGCTAATATTTTAGGCGCAAATTTTCTGTACCTTTGCACATGAAATAGATAAAAGCAGATAGCGTAGAAGCGAGGCATCATTGTTATCCTTGCATGTCAACAAACTTTCTGTTTGAGTATTTATAGGGACACCAACTGCACACGTCGTAAACAACGAACTTGTCTCATTCCATGAGAAGAGGTTTTATGTCGTTTTTGTCAAGCCTCGGTTTCTGCTTTACTAATGACAATTATAAACTAGGCGAACTTGTTCGCCTAAAGTTTGAAGACGTTTTATAGCATTCAGCTCTTTCTGAAACGAAAATTGCCTACGCTCACACCTCGAAGCACTAGGGCAAGAACTTTGCAGTCAGTTTCCGCGCAAAGAAAATAAGACAGCTTGTCTCTAACAAGGGAAGGATACTTGGTGACCGTAGCCTCTCGCAGTGAGATATATACCAGTAGATGCGCCTTGAAACGCTGATTCCAGACCTATGTTCATTATCTGCTGTGCGACTCTCTGAACAAAATTATGGACTTTTTTCTATATTAATTTTACGAGATTTAGGCACTCAAAATCGCTAGTATCCAGGCTTTTTAGACTCTGAGTTATCGGAGACAGTTTTTCTGAGCTTAACGTAAGGCTTTACTTTATTTTGACGCTCTTTTGTAGTGCGTAAGCGAGCATTTCAAAGATATCGGTGAATCCTGCATCAAAAACAGTGCAAATTTTTGTGGCAAGAAATGTTCATAACTTCTTTCGGAAAAGCGCACAGCAGATATCGAAAACAGATTTGGAATCAGCGCTTCGAGATGCATTTAACGGTATACGTTTCATTTCAAAAGGCCACGGTCACCAAGTATCCTTCCCTTGTAAGCCAAAAATGAGCATGTTGGCCTGAATATCTCCTTTCCGAATCATCCATTATATCTACAAATTTACTATTCTAACATTTATGTATTTTTGGGTGGCAGATTCCGCACCAGGTAAATGCATAAGCGGGTATAGTGTCTCTAGACCAGTTTGATCATACCTCATTTCAATAATTAAAAAAGTTATCATATCTGCCTCCATTTTATTTACTCATCTACTTCAAACAACATTTACAACAGATTCTAATATCATGGTGAAAATTTGCAAAGATCAGGCAGAAATAAAAGCTTGGCAAAAATTTGTCTTTAGCTTCCAAAAACATTTATCGGTATGTCAATGCACGCTATCGAGGAGGTTCTGCTCGCTCCAAGATCAGACAGTCTACAATATGGGGAATTCGACGGGAAGCTAGTTTTTTCTTCGTGATTGTTTTAGAAACGAACATACATCGAAAATGGTGATTATTAAGAAGAAAATAAATGAGGAGTGATGTTTCGTTTTTTGCTAAGTCGAAATGCATGTCAAAGACAATCTAATTTTGATGGTTTTTCAAATTCTTACCCCTTCTCGTAGTTTCTGTTTCTGGCGACGTTGTCGGCTCTGTTATGCTCATAACCTTGAGCGAAATGCTCCAAACCTGTGAAAATGGTTGATCTCTATCTCCAATAAGGGTCTATGAACAAAAACGCACGTTTTGCAGCTTTTTGCCAAATCAACACAATCGAAGAAGTTAGCACCGGCGACGACGACGACGTTGTTTACATTATGAATAGAAGCAAGACCTACCGAATGTACAAGAAAACGCCTGAAAAGAAATAAAGATAAACAAGAGACTTTTTGAAACACGGTCTTCGCTAAATTTCTCAAATACTACTGCATAACTCTGGCGTAATGCAGAGAGTATCCCTTCCAAATGATAATCGCTCGCGCTGATAAGCCGCATTCCAAGGCGCTAATCGTAAGCGGATCTCAACATGCCGCAGAAGTGCGAACTAATTAACTTAACTTGTCACTAGCGGAACTAATATCATAACTTATAATAACGGGCTAAGGATGTTTACGTGACTTTGTGTGTCTGTGTGTGAGTGTGTCTGTTACGAAATTCGTAGAGCGTGTTCCAGCCAACCTCCTGGGCTCAAATTTTGCACAGTGCATGCTATCCGCATGAAAGTCCAACATGCAAAAGCACGAGCAGATTCGTTTAGTGGATCCCTCAGAAATTGCGCGCCAAACGGATCCACCTGGCTTCTGTACCGCAAAATTCGGTCCGTATCATTACTTTTTGCAGAGTCGTGGATGAGTTTGGTAAGCAAATGTGCAAGCGATAGAGCTTAGCCGGAAAAGTGGTCGAAAGTACTACATAACGAAAACGGCGCCAGAAAGAATTGGTTGTGTAAATGGTCAATTTGCCAAGGTTCTAGCTAAGCGTTTGAGAAGATTTTTGCACAGAGATATAGCCCACGGTTACTATTACCTCTATGGCGACTATCAAGCCATGACAAATCCGAAAAACTAATCAAATTTGCGTTTGTCTTCCTGCGAAAAGTTTCATCCACCCGAAATCACCAACCTCACGTGAAAAAACTTTCTAAATGAGGTTGTTTACATTCTATTCGTGGTAGCCGGCATAGCGCGGTGAGTTCCAGTGCCACGATTTTACGAGAATGAGTAAGGCACATAGATAGTAGAGCCAGTGCGAGCCTCTGCGAAGCAGAGGTGACGCACTGGTAGCTGAATAAGCGGCAAAAGATAGACTTTCAGAAATCACTACCATCTCTAGGATGATATTACCAGGTGAAGAAAGCTCATAATAAGGCAGAAAAGTAACGGTGATGAGTTTGGCGTGGGCTCTTCTGCCTATAGCATGAAGCACCTAAGTATAGGCTGAGACAGAAATCTGATAGCTAGTATTCGATAATACTAGGTAAAGTACTAGATCCTCGTTTTTCTTCTTCTTTCTTCGTTTTTTACAAAACCTAAAGTTGTGTATCAATGTTCTCAGACATGCAGACCCTATTAGATAACTTTTTACGATTCAAAGCGCTTTAACTCATTCACGACAATACGACCCACCGGTGGGTCGTAAGATTTCTGAAGCTCTAGCTTTGCCACTTTACGGTGGAATTCTACGGGGTTCTGGCACATGATTTGGGCACCTCGTTGAAGCTCCAGCCAGAGTGGTTTGGGCTGGGGATACTGTAATGTAATGTTACGGTAGATATACCGCAGATAGATATAAAGCACAGACATCTCAAATTCGTTTGAATGATGCTGTTTCCGGAAAATGAAGTGCACATGCACGATTAGTACGGGGCGGCAAGAGACTGACGGAAGCCCACCAAAAATTTCAATTTCATCGATTTTATTGATTTTTTGTATTGTTCATCCTAGGAAGCTCGACTCTTACATATACAGGTTTTGTAGCATGCTGATTACGAAAATGATCCATGATGTTGCTTTCGTACAAAATGACTGCCGTAACCTTACTGTATAACGCCAAAAACTGAAATAAATCATTTTTTGATAATCAGCGCCTTCGACTACCCTTCTGGGAAAATTCTTGGAGACATGTTTTGAACTCCTTCCATAATGACTACCACGGACAATACGACTCACGGGTGGATTGTAAGTTTGACAAAGCGAAAAAGGCTCTGTTCTGAAGCGGCAATAATCGAAAATCGGCCTTGTCGTAAACGTGAAATGATTGAAGCACATTTTTAAAGAACACTGACAAAACGTTATTACAGTTCTTCTGGCATAATTTATACAGATAGTCTTACCTTAAAGTGAGAACTTTATAATCATAATCAGCAACTCAGTTTGACCCAATGAAAAAGAATCCAGCTTGTTTAGTATACATTCTGAGACAAAATATAGCCATTGATGGCTCAAAACCCCTTTAAAAGTTCCTACCGTAATCCTACAGTAACGGAGAGAGATGGACGATTCGCCCCATACTTTTTTTTGAATGCATAAAATAAATAAATAAATAAATACTGTAAAATCTAAGTTAGAGCGAGCTGTGCCAAATGTTCAAATCAAGCAGAAAAATCCTGGGAAGAGAGTTACAGGCCATTTAAAATCCGATAGCACGCGTCGCTTTGAACCCCAACGCGCGGGGCGGCTGGAAACGTTGGGCCCCGAAGCGCTTCAGGCTTAGCGCGCACTGCTTTCACACATATTTTTTATAAGCTTTTGAAGGAATTTTCCATCGGAGCATAATTTACAATGTTAGAAACGACATGGAAATTGACGGAAAATCTCTTCAAGAATAGTGAACGCCTACAGTCGTTCGCAAACGCTTGATTACGCTGGTGTTCAGGGCGCGGCACCGGCATTTAGTTTTACAAGGCCTTTATCAACGATTGAAAATGTATACTTACTTTTGGAACACCCTTATATGGAGACGTTTCGGCACACTGACAAAAAGGAATGATTTCCCAATTCCTTCCACTATTTCGAGAAACTAAAATGCATTTGATGGGAGTTCTGATGGAGCTTGAATCTGTAAATACAGAAGTGATTTCACCTGCTTGAACTTCTAGCATTTTCTATACTGCGAACAGGACTTTATTCTCAATTACAAGCACTATTTATGCATCACAATTTCTTCAAAAAGAATTTTTTTTAGCAACACATTACCTTGTACCGAATCGTTCAGCTGTTTAGCGACTTATACTAGCTACCCGATGCTATACCCTCGTAATGGTCAACGCAATCGCATCAGCGTCGGACGTCATCGCACACTGGTTACCACAAAACGCGTTCTTGTCATCGCTTGCCGAGAATATGATTAGCCGCAAAATTGTCAACTCGTCGATCTACATAGCTTAGATTAGAGCCACTTAATGCGGCGGATCTGCTTAGAAGGTGGGAACATGAACGATTCCATTGTTTCCCTCTGATTTAGTCAGCCGAGTAGTGGCGTTAGCATTGCTTTTGGACAATTTCAGTAGGGGAAGAACGCTAAGAGATGCTGACAGAGCTCACTGACTTATAGCGAACAGTTCCCGAGAATGTGTTATCTATAAGTTTCACCCTAAGTTCCCTAGCTGATCTGAACCCTATACCATGAGTTTGTCTTACGACATCGGAGCGCAGTAATGATCTTATGATAGCGCATCGAGATAAATACGCACAGCCATACAGGTTTTGAGGGACTTTGCAAATTCAATCACACGGTTGAAAATTATCTATAACACTCACAATATGAGAAGCAGAAATGTATGTATCCATCCAATCATCGACTAGACGCACCATATCAATAGACAATTCCAACTATTTGTGTAAAGAACATTTTCTGGTGGATCCCGTGCTCGACTGACACAAATTCCCGCAGAAATAAAATTACTGAATTTCAAATTAGGAAATCGAAGATACGAATAAAGCTCATAATACTGACATACGAATCACATTTTTCGAAGGTCCAGCTTACTCCAGCGAGCTTGAATATTGAGGTTTGCGTTCCCTAATAGGTTGATCAATACACTCCGTCAGCATTCTGTATATATAAAGTTGGCAAAAAATAGAGTTGCCTCATTTTATAAATCGGATAAAGATCTACGATATAATGAGATTTTTATTAGATAGATTATCACATTCTGGGATTATTTTATTACGTAACGACGGCAACTGAGGTCAAAATTGTACTAGATAATATTGTTGATGTACAAGCTCAATAGGCATTAGCACATGTGTCTAAACATCATTTTGGCATTTTACAACTCAAGCATCTATATTAGTTTATCAGAACCAGATATAGCAAATAGCTCGTTTGAAAAACTACAGATTTTGAGACACACGCTAACTGGTAATAAAATTTGGTAAGTCAACATTCTTGCTCTTGCGAGTCCAAACCCAAAGAAAATGATCAACATTTCTATGTTATATACTCGTGTTTTTCACGTGTATATGGAAGTCCAGAAGGAGCAACATAATCGCAGATCGCGCAGCAAAATTCTTCATATGTCATCGAGGATGAAGCAAAGCACTGGATAGGGCTCCACTAGGCGATAACTGCAGATTAGGCTTCAAAATTTTCTCCATTCAGACTTTTTTGAATGCAATACCATACAAGATGAGACAGCTCACTCTGCTCACTCTGCTGACTAGAGTACATAATTGTAACCAGCTGGCGCTTATTTCTGTGTAATTATAGCACAGAAATTGAAAAATAAGAAATTTCGCCAAGCAGAATAGTTTGCACAAGCGAATCTCGGTGTCCAAGTTTGGCTATGCTTGAAAAGCTGGAAAAGAAGGGTATCGTAACTGAAAAATTATGATAATGGAACGCCAGTTTGAACCATGTGGTAATTAGAATTTTGAAGTCTTAATAAGGGCTAATTTAACTGGGAAGGAGTAGATCCCTATTGGTTTCGGGGGACAAATGGGATGCACCACGCAGTGGAGACCCCGGAGCCTACCCAAATGTTTCCGAGAACCCTGACACGACTATTTGAGATTGTTTGATGTTTGCCCACGAGATTACCTTTTATTAGAGTAATTTTTTTTAGTCGCCAGAGGGACTGAGGGACTGAGGGACTCACCACAAACGGAATATATCTTACAGCTACGCAATATTTTCCATACTTATCAGCTGACGTTGGTGCAACATGGGTTAAATTCAATTTTTATGCCCTATCAGCTACCATTTTGAACAGTCAAATAATAGAAAAATGTCGTAAACCTCGGATGCAGATCTCACCTCTGCCTCCAAGAAGCGAGACAGGGCAACTAGCTAATCGAAGCGCAATTAGCGTTCTGGAACAAAAGGCGTTTGAATATATCCGCTAACTGTCCTGAATCAACGGCATTGCCTAATCATCATGACAGGCACTAATGTCCAAGAAATTGTTGCAGTATTACCCAGCATTACGCTCTGGACGCTCCCCACTACACACATTACCAAATCTTTACCACACTCGCTTAAACTGGATCTCGACGAACAAACACGGCTGGAGAGAGTTCCTACAGCAGCTCTCTCTCTAACGCTCTCGGCGCTGCTGATCAAGCCGTAGACCATCCCCACTTTGTGACCCACCCTGGTCCAGCTAGTCAGCACATGATTTATTGCTGTTTCTGAGTATAAAGCTTGCCTAATCCTGGCCATTAACCACAATCGTCTTCATCTGCTGCAGTTATAAGCCGATTATGTGATCATGATAGTATCGATTGATTTGCTAGCTCAAAAGCACTTATTTTACGAGTTTTCTTAGCTTTCAAGACTTGCAGATGAAGCTTATTGTCTTTGCGGTGCTCTTGGGTGCCGTCCACTGTATTCCTGTCGATAACGGCGTCGAAGGGGAGCCCGAAGTGGAGTGCGGCCCCACGGCTATTACCGTCAATTTCAACACTAGAAACCCATTTGAAGGTCATGTTTACGTGAAAGGGCTCTACGATCAGCCGGAATGTCGTAGCGACGACGGGGGAAGACAAGTGGCTGGAATAGAACTTCCTTTTGATACTTGTAACACCGCTAGAACCAGGTATAATCTTTATCGCTGAGAATTCTGACTTTTTTTATTGAATTGCGTATTTTAAGATCCCTCAACCCTCGGGGAGTATTCGTCTCCACCACCGTCGTCATCTCCTTCCATCCTCAGTTCGTGACCAAAGTTGACAGGGCCTATAGGATTCAGTGCTTCTACATGGAGTCCGATAAGACTGTCAGCACCCAGATCGAAGTATCTGAGCTGACCACCGCCTTCCAAACTCAAGTGGTACCTATGCCAATTTGTCGTTACGAAATTCTCGAAGGAGGACCAAATGGACAACCTATCAATTTTGCCACCATCGGTCAACAGGTCTCTTTCAATTTCTTTACCATTCCATGACTAGATATATGCTCAACTTTTTGTTCTAGGTGTACCATAGATGGGTTTGCGATTCCGAAACTAGCGACACTTTCTGCGCTGTGGTGCACTCTTGCACTGTCGACGATGGAAATGGTGATACCGTGCAGATTCTTGACGAAAATGGTTGCGCTCTCGATAAGTTCCTTCTCAACAATCTGGAGTATCCTAGTGATCTTATGGCAGGACAAGAGGCTCACGTCTACAAATATGCCGATAGGTAAGGCTGAGTCAAAGTTTTCCATATTTACAAAGGCGTATAAGCTACTTACATTCAGATCCCAACTGTTCTACCAATGTCAGATCAGTATCTCCATCAAGGTAGAACAAATCGTGAAGTTTTTTTTACCGTTTTATTAATTGATGCCGCTTCAGGACCCCGGAAGCGAATGTCCTCGACCTCAGTGTCCTGAACCCACTGGCTTTGGAGCTGTCAGACAAGGAACCGCAGCGGCACCAGGTACAGCAGCTGCTCCCGGAGGAACTGCACCAGCTCCGGCAGCAGCTCCAGCAGCACCGGCCGCAGGAGGAACTGCAGGAGGAGGAGCAGCTCCTGCCGCTCCTGCAGCTGCCCCCGCTCCTGCTCCTGCTCCTGCTCCTGCTCCAGCAGCTGGCGGTGGTGCCGCCGCGGCGGCGCCAGCTACGCTGAGGCTTCTGCGAAAGAGAGCAGTTAGCAATGAAGCTATCCTGGATGTTAGAGCTGAGATCAGCGCTATTGAGATCACTGATCAGGTAAGGCGAATGGTAGTAGCCTTACTGGTTTACGGTAATCATACAGTATTCGTTCCAGGACTCTCTGCCACTCTCACTTCGCTCTCTAACACCAGCTGCTCTGGTCAGCAGCGAACGTTACGACAGCTCGGTGTGCCTTTCGCCACTCTCCTTCGCCGCCTTCATCGGTCTTGGAACTCTTCTGGCCACTGCCCTGTCGGCAGTCGTCTTCCACTATGCACGTCCCCATTACAAATCATGAGCATCCCCAAGTGCAGCTTCGACTTCGTATTTATTAGTAGCAGCAGTCATTGTCAATCAGCAGTTTCCAGCTCGATTGCTCAACGCCATCGTCATCGCCTACCATCGCGCTGTCGTAGTGGGACATCCGTCTCTCTGTCCCAACTAACACCGCCCCTCATTGGGTGTACGTGCAATAAATCAGTTTGTACCAATGAAGATTTCTATCTAAAAAATATGATAATCTTTTTCGAGCAAACGTTAGTGATTCAAGGAAACAACCCTCCATCTATTTCATTTGAAAAGGTTGGTACGGTAAAGTGCTGCTACACCTCAAGCACTTCTTCAGTTCTTGCACACGGAAGTCAGCATAAATCTCATTTGAGGGCAGTGATCAGAAGAATGTGGGTTTGTAGACTTACAAGGGAACCATGTTTAGTCGATGTGGCCTGGCCTTAGATGAGATGCACTCCATAATGGAGAAGATAAAATGCTAATTTCAAATCTGTTTTCCTTAAATGCGGAACGTTTAAGGACGAGAAATTATGAGCTTTTATTAAAGCAAAAAATGTGCAAATAGAACAAAATTGTCGCAATATTTTTTCTAGAGTTTTAACGGAGCAGTGATGATTATCAGAGCACTTTTTTCAATAAATACTAGGTACTTTTCCCTTATCCGGACCCACTTTTTCAAAGAAGGCATTACTTCTTCTTTTGTATCATATCCGGTCCCAACTTCACAGGAAGAATTGTCAACCTTCCTGCCACGTGTCAAAAAAATTGACATGTCATCTACATGTTTAACAGGTTTAACCACGAGTTTGAGTTGCCCTATCTAGCGTTGTTCTGTCGTAAGTTCAATCTGTTTTTAAGTCAATATTGGCCCCATTTTCGAGTGAAGAGTATCAAAAATAAACATTGTTATCACGATAACGTCATTATTTTATTATATTAGGGTGATCACTAAAAATGGGGCAGCTTGATTTTTGTCAAATTTTGAGATTTTTTGTTTCGATCAACAACAAGCAGGCTGGAACGCAAACGTCGCTTATATAAGCGACCTTCGCCTATTATTCTGGCAAAACGTCAACGCTCCTCTCCCACAACCGGATGAGTGACTTTTCATACGATGAGCAATTCCGAGGTGCGAGGTGTAAACACCTACGGCTAAATGCCAAGTCTCGCACCTCTGTGTCTAGTATACTGTATAGAAGGGGGGGGGGGGGGGAGGGGGACTTTTCATACGAATACCTCCACATCATCTTTTGGCAAAGATCCAGTAAAAACTGCACCATGCCAGGTTTGGGCCTGCTGGCTCCATTCCAAAAAAAAAACGTCTAGATTAGCTTTTGCAGTACCGCGAATTTGGATAAATTTGGAGAAATTGAATACTGTATGGATTCAAAAAGTGTTTTGCTGTGAAAAGTAACACTATGATCGTTCCACTTACGAATTTTTTAGTATTCAAGTCGACATAATTCGGTCTCTTTTGCAAACGTTTTGAACTGATTTGAGTATTGTCACATGCCTCTCCGACCTTTCAGCATGACCCGGAAGTGTTATTCTTCTCACAGGGGATATTGGAGGGGGAAGACGGTCAAGAGGCGCGATTTTTCTTGGTGTCATCAACTTAAAACTCCAGTTTCTGCTACGGGAAAATTCAAAAAGTGCCGGACAAAGTCCATTACCTTACTAACTGTTTGAAGTAACCACTTGATAAGTTTGACGACTTTTGCTAGAAAACTGACAGGAATATTTACAAAATTGCTGTACTGCATTTTTATGTGTTTTTGACCTTCAACAATTTTGTTTGAAATTGATTTCAAGATGATGAGATTGAACAATCCCTAAATTCCCTAATATATTTCTTTCGAAATTTCAATCAATTCTAGAACTTCATAAAACACTAAATATGTGCTATATGCTTGTTGCAACCCGATAAGCTTTATACAACAGATAAAATCATGATATTCTTTACGCATTTTTGATAATAAATGTTTCATTTTAGTCCATTGTAATCGATAACTGGACGTATAAGGCCCCGGACAGACTTCAAGCGATTTGATCGTCGCGACTGAATCGCGACGAGACAACTGTTACAACATCATTTCATGCCGATCAACTTGCATTTCGGTTGTGATACTTTTCCAGCCCGAAATTCTTGAATGTGAAATGAAAATGAATGGAAATGTCGGCGACTGAGTCGCGACGATCAAATCGCGTGAAGTCTGTCCGGGGCCTTACCAGCATCCTAGCATACGCTAGAAGGCAAAGTGATCGGGGAGCGTTCGTATGAAAAGTCCCACCCCCCCCCCCTCCCGCGTAGTGGAGAATCTTACTCATTACGTGGATGGAGTGCGATGTAGGTGTGAGGTAGGTGCGAAGGCTAGGTGCGAAGTCCCCGATCGTATGAAAAGTCCCCCCTCCCCCCCCCCACAACCTTACGCGTGGCGCCCTGAAGAACTCGAACAGGGTTTTTTGAACCTCGCTCATTCTTGCGCTGCCATACCGCAAAGTTATAGAGCAATTGATATATCATTCGAAAGAGCTGTTCATGCTCTTCCAAACAGTATATGAAACAAACAGAATTTCTTTCTATTTCTGGGTAAAAAAAGCGAAATACCTGGAACGCGATTTTTTGGCGCAACAAAAACGAGTGAATCAAGTTTCAATCTGTATTTTCCGAAGATAGAAAAATGTGAGGTAAACTGCACATGGATGGATAGAGCGTAAAAAGCTCTTTCAGAAGGTACCTATAGAACATGTGTTCACCTGCAAAGCATTGATTAGCACGTATCTTTGTTCTCAAAGCTGCTAATGGCCATATCTCTTGAATTTGAAAGTTTACACCAGCAACCCATCGTGGGTCTGGTGTCTGTACCTTCACGCATTGCAGCAGTAGTACTTTGGATGGTTTCGCATGTTTCACTGCGCAGATACTACTCGAAGTTTATAATTTGTCAAAGTGACTAACTTTGCATTTCAGCCACTATAAGAATTATTAGTTATGTAAATGACCTTATATAGGTATTTTCTGAAAGAGAATAATCTATTCTAACATCTATCAAAATTGGGAAGTTTAATCATTTTTCTTTTTTGAGAAATCTACATTTATTCTCTAGGTGCCCCATTTTTTTTAGTGATCACCCTTATATGGGTATATGTCAAGATGAACGATAGCTGGTACCAGTGGCGGGCGGGGTCATAAAGTGGCAATAACGTGTTCGCTCGAAGCTCCGCCCTATTGCGGCGGACGAGTTTCTCGGACGATACCGTCAAGTAAAAATAACTTTTGATAGTGAGGTATAAGCTTGTTAAAAGCTGGGGTGAAGCTTGACTATTTACAAAATCTCGTTTTGATTTTTTGTTTCTTTTTTGGCAGTCAATGAACAGCTGATGTGTTGGTCGTGAAATTCGAGAGATTTCTGATTTACCTATGAATGACCGAGTGACTCCTGGATATCCAACTTTGAAGTGCGAAATCATTCTAGAACACCTAAGGCATGATTGTTTGAGTGACCTCACATCTTACGACTAGTTCACGCGCAATTCCGATTGAATTACAGATCGATTCATATTGAGGATAGCAGTTTTTGGAAGCAAAGTAAAAGAATTTTGATATTTGAAGCGGATTCAGAATTTATAAGTGTAGTGTGATTTTCCTGAAATCTGAGAAAATTTATGTGATATGACCGCATATTTGCAAAACGAGTTGTTTGCTTGAAAGTTTGCTGACTTCTTTTTGAACTAAACTTGAGAGTGCACAACAAAGCATATTCAATATAACAGATGTGAATAGAGAAAAACACTTTTCCGAGCATTTTCGAAACAATTTCCTCATACCTGCAATGAAAAATCATTTTGGACAAGCCTACTAGGAACAAATAATTGAAATACATTGAAAAGAGCTTGCGAACTAATTTTATAACGAAAAATAATCCGAAAACTGATTTTAATTCAATGAAATTTTGAAATGTACTGTTATCCAAATTACAACCAACTGAAGAAGCATGAACGAAGTATTAGAGAGTTTTCCAATAGCTGCAACACATTCCTAGGCTAATTAACAAGGGGGCGGAGCGATCAGAGCACCCCGTACGGTACCCAGCTGGCGGCTGGCACATGCTTCGTTCATCTTGACCGCCACCCCCCTTATATTAATTAACAGATTAGACGTGCCCAGAATAGGGGAGTGTTCTAGGGTCCCATTACCTAAGTGACGAAGCAAGCAGCTGCGAGGAACTCCAAGACATCATTTATAGTCTTGTCTGGCTAAATTCGCTGGCAAAAATTTTGAAGGGAAAGCATTGCTGAAAACAATCAAGATGTTCTTATATAAGTTCCAGTTTGTTTTGCTCTCATAGAAACAATTAATTACCTTTTAGGTGATCACAAATGCTCTTGCCTCACCGGAAATAATTTCGAAAAAAAAGACGTCAAAATGGACCAAAACGTGTCAATATTTTTCTGACGTCGCAGGGAAGCAGTCCTCCAGTCCTCAATCTATGAAAAGTTATTCTTAGGCTAAAAACGTGCATCATGAGAGTTTTTTGAACAAATGGGTCCAGATAACGGAAAAGTACCAAATATAATACTTTTAGATACAAAAAATGTATTCTGATTGCTTTTTGAGGACTAGCGTTTTAGCAACTCATTTTCTCCTAGATGCACTTTTCTTTTTTAACTTCATAATCCCACAACTTCTCGTCTGTGAACGTTCCGCAGATAAGGAAGGCAAATTTGGAATCAGCATTTTGTGCTTTTCAGTATGGTATATATCCCATTTAGAAATTTAGAAAGGCGACTTCGACTAGGCAAGGTTCCCTTGTTGGCAATTAGATAATGATTGGAAGGCCTCAGCAGGCCATTGTTTGAGCAATAACTTCTATGATTCCATCGTCGAGTAATTCAAGCTTGGTTTTGCCCAGTACCGTACTCTCGAGAGGGGATATCGGGCGCGAGTTCGAAGTGGAATTTGTCGGGCGACGAGATCGTGTGAGCTACAGCTAGTTATTAGATAAC